TCTTTGAAAAGTCTTTTTTTTCATTTTTCAAAAAATTTTAAAGCTCTTTATAAAATGTAATTTTTAATACGGGATGTTTCAGTATTTTGTCAGACACAATGCCATGAGTCAGTAGTAAGCTTGGAAGTGCACAAATTCGTCATTTTAAGAGGGCTCGAGAACTGAAGAACATATTTTTCTTAAACTTTCAGCTTGTTTACGGATCTTTATATTAGCCAAATTGCCAAATTTGATAACTTTATTAACCACTTTGATAATTTACGTTCGGAGAAGGAGGCAAGGCAAAATAATAAATTTTAGTTATCGGTTTTTTCAATCCAAATTTTGCATTGCAATCGTATTATATTTTATTAATTATATTTCTTGAAATAAAAAATGTTGTTAAAAAAAGTTCTCACTATTCAAATTTTGCCGCCCCCCAAAATTTGCCGCCCTGGGCAGTAGCCCCAATTGCCCCTACTGTAAATCCAGCACTGTATATATATATACATTATTTTCATATTTCAATTAGATAGAGGTGCCTGTTATGAGAGATTATGAAAAATAGTTTTCATATTTTATATATACATTTCATTTTACTATTTCATTAATATAATATCTATTATAATTAAAATATCTTTATATATAACTCTTCAGTCTTCTTTGTCTTCAATTTCTTATAGTCTTTCTTTATTTTTCTTTAAATTTATCGTCATCATTGGTCATCTTAATATCGTTTGGCAATTCATTATATATTTTGCTAGCACTCCATATGACATTTTCTCTCAGATTCTTCTTTCTATTGTGTTCAATGTGAAAATTGTTGCGTTGTCTAGTGTAGTGTTCATGTATATCTTGATTTATGTCTATTGTTGCACTTGTTTTAATTCGGTTAAATTTCATTTAGTGTATTAGTTTGCATTTCTCTATTTTATTACATACGTATTTTCTTAGATTACATTCATAGGCATAACTAAACTGGAACATTAATCGTGGAATAAAATATTTAGGTACTTATGTACGAATAACTTTTCAACTTTCCGTAGGGTAAGTTATAGGAATGGGCCGAAAATCTAAAATGAAAATTCTTGCATATCTTCACGTTTCAAAGGTTTCTGAACATTTTGGCATACCTTAGAGAAAATGGATGTGTGTGTGTGATTTAAATGATTCAAAAAACGTTCGATATCCATTGATAGGAAGATGTGCTGATTAGTTTTTGGCAAAGGCAGGTCCAGCCGTTACTGAGATACGGAGTAAAGAGTGCAGAAAATATAAATCGAGTTTTTGAAAGAACAGAGTACCCGATTTAAATGATCCAAAAAATATACAATTTGTAATGATTGGGAGAAGTGGTGATTAGGCAGGTCTAGCTATTTTGAAGATACAGAGCTAAATGTACAAAAAATGGCAGTTTTTGAGAGAACTAAGCATCCGATTTGAATGAATCAAAAAACTTTCTGCTTATTTGACAATTGCTTTTGAAAAAAAAAATTCAATTTTTTCGAAAATAATTCAGATTTTAATTTTAATTCTGGCTAAAGTTCTGAAGCTCACTTATATACCAATTACTCTAAATAAATAAATTTTACTTTGTAATTCAGTTTATATAATTCTTATAAATATTAGACAATGTTACAGTATTTATAATGATCTATTTGAAAACATTTAGTATTCCTCGAACTTTCCTTAGTACGGAAAGTTCCAGCAATTTACCTTAAGGCACGATGCCATACACCACTAGTTACAATCTGTATTTGGCAATTGGCAATAAGTTCAATTTGGTTTAAAATATTTGGTAATTGTCATTTGACGCAAGCAACTTTTCCTCTTCATTGCTGCGATATCACAAATTGGTCATCTAAATTGGACGTGATTGGTAGTCCGTAGGTATTGTACCCAGGGCCGGTCCTGGAGTCCTTAGCGCCCGCATGCATTTTTTTTTCTAGCGCCCCCCCCCCTCATTAATTTTAACTGTTCTAATAGTTTATCATTAAAATGATATAAATATTTACGTAAATAAGATATAATCTAAAAGCGTATAAAATACATTGTTTTTAAATTAATTTAGAAAATCGAGGCGATTCGCGGGTTGATCATTTATTTATTTATTTATGGCAAGATTATAATCGAATATTTTTAAATTTTCAATTTTTTTAACGCATGTGTTATATTATTATTTGGATTTTTAAACATTTTACTTATTATGCGATTTATTCTATTGAGCAAATCATGCCAAGAGAGCAAAAAAAATTTTTCTTTCATTTTTAACACGTTGACGGACAGTAGGAACAAGCGAAGTTCGAAAATTGACACTATATGTTTTTGTGATTTTTAGAATGTTAGAAGTATAGTTTTACTCTTTCTGCTTAAATAAACTTAATTTTGATTAATTTAGTACCTTTAATTAGGTTGCGGCTATAACAGCAAAAATTTAAAAATGTAAATGACAGGTTTAATGGTTCAAACAAGCAATTTTTGTATGCAACAAAGTATTTTTGGGAGTTTTACACGAAATGTTAGTTCTTAATCAAACAAAAATAAATAAATGACAAAAAAATTTATTATAATTTTATAATTATTATACATTATTTTCGGTATGCCATGTTTCAAAGCATGGTGCAGGACACAGTGCAGGTTTTGACATGCAATTCTTGCAGCAATATGATGTTTCCTTCCTTATTCCCTGTTTATAGCATTGTTTACAACGCTGAAAATATGTTTTTCGCTGATAATTTTCAGGAGGTGAAATTTTCTCAGGAAAATGCAGTGTTCCATTGTTGTTGATTTCATTGGTTTGGATTTGTGCACGTTTAAATTGAACCAAAGTTCTTCCATCCCGTTTATTATCTATACCAGTTAGAGATCGTATGATTGCTTCCCTGTACTCTATATACTTCATTTGAGAACCTGTCTTTTCTTTAAAGATGTAGAAAGAATTCCATACTGCTACATATAGTATGTAGCAGTATAGTTATATAAATAATAATAAATATCGTTAAACGTATCAATAAGAACTATAAATTCAACAGAAAACACGATCGCACTACTCCCTTCACAACCACGTGCATACTGAATCTGCAACTCGTATAACAGGTGAAATATGAACTTCAACCGAAAAAGATGTTTTCAAAACACGACACTATGATTCTACGTATACGCCAGTAAGTGCACATTTGTGCTGCTATAGCCGTAGTGTCTAAAAACGACCGTTTCGTTTTGAACGGCTATAGCAGTCATGCCACATTGTGAACTTCGCTTTGACGGCTATAGCCGCAATTGTCCGTCAACGTGTTAAATGTAATACTCGTATTTTATGTTGGATCCAATTTAATTTTTCAATATTGACAATATCCAAAATTGCATGGCAAACTTCTCCTTAATGATATCGTAAGGAGAAGGACCGAACTGTATTCATCTTTACTTTCCTGTCAGATTCAGAGTATCAGATTGTTGTTTTATAGTTAAATTTTTAACGTATTTTAAAAGTATTGTCTAAAGATCAGTAAAAAAGTAAAAAATAATATATTTCTTGAACTATATAAAAAAACTTATCATATTTGTAACTGTATTTTTTCTGCATAGTTAATAATTATTAAATTTAGGGTATGAACACCACTTAGGTATAAAAAAGCTCTACGATTTTTGTTTCAAAGTAAGTTTTGCTTACATTTTTCATATTTGTTCTATTTTCATAACTCTAACCACGCATGTCTTCAACATTCAAAAGTTCATAAGATCATAGACCTTATATTATATTATATTGTAGTGTAATGTTTAAACATCAGATGCAAAACATTTGCAACAAAAGCAGAAGTTATAATAAAATTTCTCGAAATAAACAAGCTATTTTCTAAGCACTGACTTTCCATTTTCCATTGTCTTTATAATAATTTTTTTAACAAGCTCCGTTTCAACTTAATTTCCTCAAAATTTTTCGTCAATAATTAATTTAATCTTTCGCAGGTTTGCGCTTACGGGATTGAGCACAGATATCTTTTTCGATTGAGAATTGAATACGTAGATTAAGCAATAAACAGAACAATTTTTACGAATTTCCAGAGTTATTAATCAGTTAACTGTTCCTACTGACATCACATTGCAAACTTAATATGCTTTTTGTGACTTCGTATCCATAGTCAGTTTGTTTATTATAATATATAAAATATTTTAGATTGTATATTTAAAAAAATATATATATAAATAACATAAATTTCATTTCTAAACCTCATTTTGGCGCCCCCTAAGGCGTGCGCTTGCATTTTTCGCATGATTCGCACGCAAGGTAGGACCGGCCCTGATTGTACCACTAGTTATAATCTGTATTTAGCAATAGGCAATAAGTTCAATTTGATCTAAAATATTTGATAATTGTCATTTGACGCAAGCAACTTTTCTTCATCATCGCTACTGCATCACCAAATTGGTCATATAAATTGGTTGCGGTTGGTAGTCCGGATAATCGCGATTCCGTATAACGGAGGCCCGGATAAACGAGTTTCTACTGTGTGTCCTTCCCTGAATATATCCTTTTTCCTCAAACATATCCCGAATGTGTCCAATAGTGAATTGCATCATGTATTGAGAATGTATTTGTAAGTAGAGCGTTCTCTTTCTCACCCCGAGCAGAACAACACAACACAACTCACGGCAACTGGGCACCGTGCTTCCGAAGATATCACTCAGACGTCAGTCGGCAATGAGTGCGGTTGTTACTGATCAATGATATTCTTCAAACAAACTTGAAAAAAAAACGAACATAGACCTGATTTTTGTGTGCCTTTATCATTAATATTTTATGTGTGCTTGCAACTAATTGAATTAATTTTAAGTTATTTTTTATATATAATAATATTTATAAAAACAATTTGTTATAAACAACGTGTGTGTCTGTGTTTGGTGCTGTTAAGGATTTTCCATTTGGTGAAAATCACAGAAAAACTCCACCGTCTCGGTGTGGCGTGTTGGGGTGGATTATATATTATTTTTTGTTTTCGTAATTTTAATTTAACTACATCAATATGAATGTCAATCTTTTGTGCCCCGAAGCCCCATTTGGCGAACGGGTGGATTGCAATTTTGCTGAAGTTGATGAGAATTTGACAAAAGACGCCAGAGTCATGGATAACATGCTGATGTTGGAAAGGAGCACCATCCCCCGCATAAACTACTTTGCCAATTTCCAGGGGGATCTGCTACCTTTCATGAGGAAAGTTGTCACCACATGGATGTTGGAGGTAATGATATATTTTTATATAATTTGGAAGTAGAAATAAGTGAATATTTATAAAAATTATACCGACATGATTTTTTATCAATCAGCATCAGTTGCATATTTTGCAACTGCGTGATTATCATCTAATCCCGTTGTTGTTATTATGAGACCACTTTCGGCTTTCGGCGAATAATAATAGACTTGCTCAAGGACTAGTGAATAGTAGTTTTTTAAATTGAGATAAAATCGTTATAAAAAATGCATTGACCGTGCTTTTGCTATAAACAATATTTATAAACTTGCTCTATTATGCCCTTTTAATATATTAAATATTGTCTCATTATTTACTTTTTTTTTCAAAAAAATACTTTATTATAAACTTTCAATATATTAAATACTGCTCTATTATTTACTTTTTTCAAAAAATTACTCTATTTTTTCATTTTATAAATCTTTTATATATTACTTGTATCTTATATTTATTTATTTTTTTAATTCAATCGATTAAAAATAATAATAACAATAAAATTGCCTTTTATAATAAATTTGTTATATTATTATTAAATATAATGCTCGTTGTTAGGAATATTAGGATTGGACCTTCAACGCGAGCTTAGACTTGTTTTGATTGTTTGAAAATTTCCGTTAAATATAATCAGAAGTATTATTTTTTATTATTTATAGATCATTATTTTACTTATAACATTTTTTGTTTCACGTTGAAATATACTCTTGAAATGTTTATTTGTAGCCAAATAGTCATCGAAGTAAAAAGTAAATAATAATTCATTACATACGTTTCGATATTGTTTGTGTCATTATTCAGCACGTTAACAAATTCAAACCACGAAAAAAACACACAAATTTAAAAACATTGTTTAATGAAAAAACAAACCAATAAACAAAATAATAAAGTCAAATTTAAATAAAAAAATATTTAATTGATCACAAGATTTACAAATGCAATTTGTTTGCATTGCCAGGTTTGAATTTGTTAACGTGCTGCAAATAAACATTTCAAATATATATTTTTACACCTATCCACCGTTTTTACACGTTTTCGATCTAATACGATTTTTAAAAATATTTTTTTTAACGACACATTTTCACGAAATCGCGCAACACTGAACTATAATTTATTTTTAATCTACAATAACATTTTTATTGTTTTACTGTCTAAATGCAACACTGCAAAATATATGTTATATTTACGAATTTCTAGTAGTTTGTCTATGATGGAAATATGTAGATAAGATGGGAACTCCCCGGTTTATGATCAAAACTAAATTTTATGCGTGTATAAGCTAGTTTATTTGGAAAACCAGAACAAAGAACATGATTGTTTTTAAACATCATTCTTAATTAGTATTTATATATAATTGATAGCGTAAATTTATTCAAGGTGAGCAGAATTATTTTTTATTAATAATAAAAAATAATTCTCATTTGATATTAAATATATAATATTTATTTTTCGTTCAATGTGTTTGTTATTAATATAATTAAAAACTTACAAGAAAGGCTTTTTCGTAGTGATTTTTGTTTAGCACGGTTTTTTCATATAAGAGTGAATTTTTCAAGTTTCGAGTTTTTTATTGAATCTATCTTCCGTGTTTTTTTTTATTTATTTTAATTTTTTGTTTTTATTTTATTTGTTATAATCTCATGTTTCTTAAGTAATTACTTTTAAATGTATTTAAAAATATGATTTTCAATTATGCATAAATCTTATTCAAATTAGTATTATTATTGTTTATTCTAGTAAAATAATCATGTTAATAGTAATTTTGATGGTATAAGTACTCGTAACTCAACCTATTTACATTTTTTATATTATTATTAATTCGATATTGAAAAAGTTCGAATTTTTTGGCATATTTATATCGTCAATGAATTTAAATTTTTGTGTATATATGTATCCACTAATTAGAAAAGAATATTCCATCGAATAAGATCTCCATCTCAAATTCACGTACACGTTATATCCTTTACGTTTTCTGTACCACGAAACACATTTACTGCAACTAAGTATTTACCACCTGTTGCCTTCGTTCAGATGCCAGCCGTTCATTCCAACAGGTATATTTTTTCTCGTTCGATCGCTCTATCAGGACACCTTAAATTACTGAACGCGGAACTTAAAAAAACTATTTTCACCTGTTATCCACGAAAAAAAAATCAAATGATTCTATGATTGCTATGTAATAATTCATTTGATATATATTTTCCTGTTGCTCTCTATCACGTTTTCTCAAACTGTTCGATTACGAAAATCGATAAATCAAATATAGTTTGTATATTTTTATGTTAATTAAAAATTACAGATATCTGCTTTATTTTGATTCACTTCGTCCGCATATTTTAATTTAATCCTAACGGATTTCGAATTACGTTCGTTATCATTCACTATGAATTTATTATTTGATTTCGTGCAGAGTGCGTTTTCAAAACATATAATGCAGGCATTTAAATAGTGAAAAGAAGGGGGTTTGGCATAGAATATATTAGAATAAAATTAGATTAATTATGTTTTGAATGTAACTGGTTTCCTAATTTTTAATAGGAGCATTTAAACACATAAACATGTCTTAATTTTAATATTCCTAAATTAGATGTTAATAAGGTAGTCTTAAATTATGCCTAATGAATAATTAGAGGTTTCTGTACGTTTTTTCCTAGAAATTTTTATATCTTTTCATGTTTACTATCATTTATCTCATTCGTTTTCCGGTTATTTAGTAATTTTACAATTGCTGCTAAAATATATCAATTAAGTAAACTTACGTGGGGTCATCTTTTTAAATATTGAAGAACCGTTAAATTTGGACGACAATAAATACAGTATTATATTTTGTTATATACGTTATATTGTTATACTGTAATAATAAATATATTTGCAAGCAGAAACTATAAATTAATTTTGCAGTCGTACTTGACTGTATATTTTTTATTATTATCCACAGGTGTGTGAAGAGCAACACTGCGAAGAACAAGTGTTTCCTTTAGCTGTTAATTTCATGGATCGTTTTTTGTGCGAATGCGAGATTCCTCGTCAACAACTTCAACTTGTGGGTGCAACAGCTTTACTGGTTTCCACCAAGATTCGTCAATGCCATAATTTGACTATCCATCTGCTTTGCGCTTATACTGATCATAGTGTCGCCCCTGAAGAAATTAGGGTAAGTTTGTCTTTATTTTAATATTCTTATAAAACTAAAAGAATCCATTATTATCATTATTGGTGTTTCTGGTCCATGCGCGTCCTTTGTTTATGGTTCACTTTTCACTTTTCAAACTTTAGTTTTCATGCTTCCTTCTTCTCTGTCCCGTCTTATAGTTGTCTGTAATTTCTCTACTAGCATATGTTGATCATCATTTGCATTCTTTTTCGTCCTAGTTCTTCCAAATCGTTTACTTAGTCTTCGAATGCTTCGCTTTTTTTCTAATATGGATCCAATCCAGTTTCCTTTTCTTTTCATAATCGTATTCTGTAAAGTTCAATCCTCTCCCAGTCTTTGCAGTACTTCTTTACTTGTTACCTTGACGATCTACTTCTACTATTGATGATTGATTGCTGATTGATTACTTATGTTGAACATGAATAGATCTATTCACAAGCTTTAAAATATCTTTACATAACTTTATCCATACGATTTTGTTAATTTGGCGTAAAATCATCATCACAAGTTTATTACTACGTTTAGCAGTGAATAATATTTCTATATAAAAATTCGAATTTGCGTGATGGGTAGCAGAAACGAGCACGCGTCTGCATATTAAACGACCCAATTCGTGTACTTCCCCTCGGATGTACCTCTAATTAGTTCGAATTGCGGCAACGTAAGTAAATTAGTTGACTCGCGGTGGATCGTATAATAATGCATGACATCCTTTCTTGATATAGGATGCACACTAAGACAATGTTTTTTGACCCCTTGCTTACTTCTCAAACGGAAGACTGATGACGAAATATTATTTTCAATAGAATTTACTTAAGACAGGCTAATGAAGAATCTGGTTTCAACTTGTAAAGCTTGGTAAAAGTTATTTATAAATTTTGCATATTTTTTTTTGGTTGAGTATTTTTTAAGTATGAAGGTCCGGGGGTAGAAAGGTCCACAAAGTCAAATATAGAAATTTTTAACAATACTAATTTAAAGTAGAAGGCAAAAGATGTGTAACCAGCCATCATCTTAATTGTTACGACGACGATATCAGTAGATAAACGGTTATCGATATTCATAACAAAAGTTTTTTTGTTACGTTGGTAGTTGTTTTGGTTTTGAGCTCTTTTATTGAGTTTATGATACCTGAATATAATTTATACGTTATGCAATTGGTTTATAAAATGCATTGCTATTTTTAAGTTAGATTCAACAGTTTTGGTTATATAATCTCTATAAAAACTTACACGTGGGTAGAGTAACTAAACCTTCACACTGGCAAAGATGTAAATAATAAAATAATAGTAAATAACAAAGTAAATAAAGTTATAAACACAATTTTACAGCAGATACATTAAATTAATAGTTATTGCATCTCTCTTGAATGTTTCTGACGAATTTACCAGATCAAGGCTACATACGGTTTGATATATGCAAAAAATGCGCTCAATATGTTTTGATTTTTCATTGGTTGAATAATGTAGCTATTATTTCGTAAAATTCTTTTAAGACAATGGAGCTTTTTGCCTCCTGGCCATACCATTTTCCCTGTCTATGGGGTAAAAAGGACCAGGCGACAAACTTTTGGAAATCAGCAAATAACACATTTTTACAATGATGAAGTAGCTGGGATTTTTACTGTATATAGTCAGATAGTTGTTTCTTTGATATATGTTGTGATGTCTTTGGTTTGGTTGGACCTTTGTGCCCCTATATATAAATAAATCGAATTAATTTATTTTTCTTAAATATATAATACTCGCGTGTATCGTGAATAATTAAGTACACAGACATCAACGCATCAAAAGTTTTCGTCTTCGTCTTCGTCAGTGCGGTCACCTCTTCCCGGATGCGAACGCATCGGCTGTCATCTTCCCCTATTTGCGGCGTATGTAATAATACAACAGCCGTCCTATATTTCTGAACTTTTTACTATATATATATATATATATATATATATATATATATATATATATATATATATTCTTTATCATTCCTTTGTCCTATACTTTATCTTCGAAGACCATCTTTAGAGTCGCGCGCCGTGCACTCCTTCCGTACGGGGCACGCGCCCGCTGACCACGATTGCCGTTTCACCTACGACGACGGATACTCTCCGGCTCGCGAACTGTGACGGGACGAAATATACGACTATTTCTTCCTTCGTTTGTTAAATTATAGTCATACAGGCTGACGCTTTATCTATATAAATTTTATAAAATTAAAGCACTTGAAAATTATTACATTTTTAAGGTAGTATTCTGGTCTAGAGGCATGAATTTTATGCGATTTTTGAAAGGCTGCAAAAATAGGCAAACATTATTTGTACTATATTTTTTTTTACAAGCTAATGATGAATGTTTTGAGAATATAAAAAAAATAAAATTAAAAATAATTATGAAGTGCATTTCTTGAAGGTGATGAAATGGGGAGTCTCAAAAAATTGGCACGTGACCTTAGTCACGATTTTATCGCTCCAAATAATCTGAATAATGTCGAAATCTTTCGAACGACAGACAAGTTACAAAAAATGTTTTTTCATAAAAATTCTATAAAGACGACGATGAAAAAGTTTCAAGCAAATCGATTTCAGTAGAGGTTAAGAAATCGTGGGTATCGCGGAAAACATGTTTAAAGTTTCGCGGAGCAGGATTATAGTGGTCCAACAGATGTATCTCCGACAATAATTTGGATTTTAAAAAATCCTCTTGTAGACATATTCTTGAATAGTTAAATTTTACTGAATGGAAAAAAAATAAAATCGATTTTTTTAAATCTAGACCAGAATATCAGCTTAATAACAATACTTTCCTAGGTCATAATTAAGTTTAAACACTTTCTAATGTTATTTTTTGCTAAATTTATTAGCTAAATATTTTTCTCCTAGCTTTTTATACCATGTGCTTGTTCGTTTACACTTTTCTTTTATTTTTACTCCTATTTTTTCCTTGATCACAAATCTTCTACCGCTTATATATTTATTACCAACATTACATGGTTTTCATGATAATTTACTATGTATATTTTTAGATGTGTTTTTCTTTTTGAGAATTTTATAATTCATTAATTTATTTGGTTGCTCTATAAGAACTATTTGCCGTTCTCTATGTTCAAATAATTTTTAATATTAATATTATTAGTTTTAATATTATTTATATTTCGTCGAAATTTTAAGTAAAATTATGAACTTTTATCAAGATATACAAAATATAAAAGTTCTACTCGAAGTCGTTAAATTCTTCCGTTTAAAGAACAAGAAGCTTAATGCTATTGTTTTGTCTTCAACGCATCCGCCACAAAAGCCCGTGACCTAATCAAACGCACCTGAATGCGCAGTGTATGGAATGAACTTTTTCTAAAACCATTGTTTATCTATTGAAATAAAGTTCACATTTTTCGGAATAAAATATACGAATGTAATTGTAAATTCATAAATTTTATTGGTACAAAAAAGAAGTTTTTTCGTGGAATTTGGAGTCTTGGAAGTCTAATGACTAAGTTTGCAAAGGGTGAATATTCTGGGAACGATTATTAAATTACAACAGAATTGCTTTGACAAGATTTCTTATAAATTTAACTTAGTTAAACTTTGGTTTTACTACCTACTTGAAACAGCAAATTACCTATAATTTGCATTATTCATCGAATTGCTCTTAGGAAATACCGTAGGTGGAAAGTGAATTTATTCAGAAACTCTACCTGAGAGGTAATCGAGTTGCTGTGAGCATTGTTTACTTGGTGTACAATCCCTAAACTGGGTTTACAAAACGTACTAATCATAGCATTAATTGAAATAGTGACTCCCGCAGTTATTAAAATGAACTTGAAGCAACATGGTGTTGTGCTCACAATTCACACCCTCGACATTCGAAAGTCACTCGGAGTTTATTATTGTTAGAGTCATTACCTATGTTTTTGTTTCCGTGTTTCGTATGAAGCCAAAAGTCGATTAGATCTACATTACGGTAAAATAGCTTCGGGTCAAAATTGAGGCAACGACAAACAACCCCTTGTGACATTTTAGCATATAATATCATATTCAATATCGCACCGAGTATTCCCACGAACTGTTTGATACTCGCGACAGAAGTCCATTAAAAACCCTCTCTTTACGCGACACATTAATTGCTGAGTATTATATGCGACAGACGGTTTATAAAGTTACGCGAGTTTTTTTCCCATTGCTGGAAAAGGATCTATTTCTTTGATCTCTATATGATGTCAATGTTATGCGCTTCACTTTTTAATACAGATAGATTATTCATTTTAATAAAATTATGGACCTTGCTCATGAGTCGATAGTCGATTAAAAATTATGTATATAAAGAAGTTACGAGCTTTTTCTGTAAGATTCTATATTAAACTTTGAATCTAATATCTATTGCATATTGATCAAAACGTGATCCTTTTTGAAGATCGAGTATCTACAAATATGTATTTGAGTTTACCTGGTTTTGTTATTGTAAAGAGATTAGTTTAAAAAAATATTGAAACTAGTGGTGCGTTCCGTAATATAAAAATTTTAAAACATTTAATTTTTTTTTTAAACTTTTGATCTTTTTTTTAAAGCGAACGCACTGCATAGCTATTTTAGAGACCAAAATCGAAACGCGTGAGCCCCTCGTCGCTCTCTAACGGTTAAACATTATAAATCTTAGTACGGAGCCCATTGAAATACAAATAAAATTACACTTATTAATAAAATATCTACAAAATATTTAATAATCTGATGAACGTATGAGTAATGATCATTTTTAACCGCTAAATGTCGTTTTCTTTAACTCTTTGTATTGGATCTTCGAAACTGCTGGACCTGCCTTCCAAAATTTTAATTAATTCATTCAGACAATACAAGTGAAATGTTTTTGAACCATTAAAATCGGACCGTTCTCTCAAAAACTAATTTTCTTTTTTTTATAACTTTTGTCCCGTATCTTCGAAACGGCTGGACTTGCATTTGCCAAATAACAAAAAATAATTTTCGATTTATTTGCGGTTACTATAACTTACCCCAC